TATGTATTATATATATATATATATTTGTTGTGTGTGTGTGTGTGTGTGTGTGTGTGTGTGTGTGTGTGTGTGTGAGTGTGTGTGTGTAATTTAATTATGTATATAAAATTTAATTCAAATTTCTCAAATTTGACTACTGAAAAAATTAAAATGAAATAAATGAGCATTAATTTGACATGATTCAAAGATAAAAATACAGAAATTAAAATCTATATTGTGTCGATTATATCAGGTTCACTCGTCCAAAGTTCATTAAAATTACGTAAGCTATCTCGCGGAGCATCTTGCTGAATTGAATTGTGATAAGATTAATTTACGTTTACGTTTTAATTTACGTAATACTTTAAGTTAATAATAATTTAATTTGCCAATTTGATTCTACTCTAAGATGATTCTGATAATTCCATAGTTTAAATAGTAATTTTAATAGTTTTACATTTTCGTATTAATCTCATTGATTTTGATACTCCGTAAAATATTAGTCTATTATATATTTTGGCGTATAAGAAATTATTTCTTTTTGTTAAGTCGGTTAAGAATTGGACATTTTCTGCACGATGTTATTATCCATGCCAATTTATGAAACTAGTGATATTTATCTTCCGGTTGATAAACGCCAATTAATTGGATGGCAAGCATTCCTCACGTATCTCATCGTTAACCTCGTCCATCGTTGCTAATCTCACCTTCTTAAGTATGACAAAATCCCTTGCTTCGCACTTTTCGATCCGTCATCATAGAGTAGAAGAAGTCTAACATTTCACAACTTTTTAGCAGACTTTTTCGAAGTCGGATAGGCTAAACTTGCGCAAAGATCGCTACGCGAATTATAATTGATGTTATCTGTGGTGATGTTATTCTATGAAATATATTGAACAACTTTCAATGTTTTCAATATATTAAGATATAATTATTTTCAATCCACAATATGCAAATTGAGAAAAAAATACTCATTATCATAATCAATACCGCACGCCTTGTTTCAGATTTCATTATCTTACTATTTATAATTGCAGATAATGAAATCAAAAGATAAACGATCTTTGTTTTATTAAAATTGATATATCGAAATTTTTTAATTTATAAATTCGAAAAATTTGAAGAATTTACGCAGAATAACCTTTAAGAGAATTAAATAGTAGAATTTTTAATCTATCTTCAATGTTAAGTGGCGTTTATCTTAACAGAATTTTTTTGATATGAAATACCAAAGAAAAGATATTTAATGATAAGAATCGAAAAAGATTACGACGACCCGTGATAAATATGTTATAAAGATGCTAATAATTTCAAATATAGTGAAAAAAATTGTTAATATTAATTATGAAATAAAACTTTTGAATAATGACTGCATATTTTT